CAAACGTTCTGGAAAATATTAGCGTTTCGTGTTCGTTTTGACTTCGTGTGGACGGGGCCTAAGTTTGATTTATCTACACTTGGAATCTACAGTAGAATGGTTTGTTCCCCTGTTAGAATGGCCTAGTCAAAGCAATGGTTGTCTGCGTCTGTAGCAGTGGGTTGGGAAGTCATCAGACACTCTGGAGGTTGTTGCTTTGATCCAAACTTTCCTTACTTAGACACACTGAACATTTTGCGGCCTACTCGAGGAAAAGAGCAATATGTTGTCGGTATGACATTCAGATATTTTCCAGATCATTTCTACACTGGAAAAAATCGAAATGTAGATAAGTCATTTGTTCTTGAATTGAGGAGGTAAAATAGACATTTTGCCAATGGAACAAGAAAATGTACATTTAAAATAAGAAAAACACAATTGCATTGTCTTATTTCAAGTGCATATTATCTAATTATCTTATTTTAAGAGTAAAAATACTCATTCCATTGGCAAACTCATTTACCTACTTAAAATAAGGATAAATACACTGAATTTAAGAAATTTTGACTTATTTCTAGATCGTTTTTGCAGTGTGTTCTTTGATTGAGGAGAGAAACATTTTGCCAATGGAACAAGAAAATTTGCGTTTAAAATAAGAAAAAATGCATTGTCTTATTTCAAGCGCAGATAATCTAATTATCTTATTTTAAAATATTTTTTTAGTAAAAATACTCAGTCTATTGGCAAACTATCTCATTTACCTGCTCAAATTAAGCGTAAATACACTTAATTTAAGATATTTTTACTTATTTCTAGGTCGTTTTTTCCAGTGTGATTGGTCAGATTTGGATTTTCTTCTGTGGCCCTCATGCGGACCAGTGATGGCTTTTGTAACGGTTATTAATGTCCTAATGAGAGCAGCCGCTCTTATCACGCTGGCTGTTTTGTATATTGGTTTTGCATGTCTGTTAGAGGAGTCACTCTTATCTGATTGGCTGTTAAGCAGCTGGATGGTGTTTTTTTCTAACAGCAGTGGAAAAGGTTATTTACTCTTCATCGCTGTTTAATTAAAGCACATTTAAGGTTTTTCAATGCTTAAAAATACGAAAACGGATGCAAGCGTTGAAAGAAACGTCCTTGTTTATCTAACTTGTTGTCCTCCTCAACAGGTCTGATGATCCCAGTCTTCTGTGTGGTGGAGCAGGCGGACGGAGGGCTGCAGGGCGACGGCTGCGAGGGAAGAGAGGAGCACGCTGAGTTTGTCCTCGTCAGGAAAGATATTCTCTTCTCCCAGCTGGTGGAGACGGCGCTGCTGGCGCTCGGCTACTCCCACAGCTCGGCCGCTCAGGCCCACGGTCAGTCAGAGAGTCAGTCTTTGATTAACATCCAGCCCAGATGAAGACACACTGCAAAAAATCTAAATCTAAATTTACCAATCTAGATAAGTCATTCTTTCTTAAAATAAGTGCATTTGTTCTTGAATTGAGGAGGTAAAAGAGACATTTTGCCAATGGAACAAGACAATTTAAACTTAAATAAGAAAACACAACTTCATTGTCTTATTTCAAGTGCATATTATCTAATTATCTTATTGTAACAGTAAAATTACTCATTCCATTGGCAAACTATCTCTTACCTGCTCAAATTAAGGGTGAATACACTTAATTTAAGAATTTTTTACTTATTTCTCGATCGTTTTTGCAGTGCATGATCCTGTTTCTTCACTGTCTGACATTGAATCAATAAATCAACAAAATCACATAGAGGCATAAAACACTTCAGGTCTGAGTCTCTGAGGTTTTGGTAGGAGAAACATCTCATCTGTGTGTCATGGATGGATCCTGGTTTTACGACCTGGGATAAGTTGAGTGGGATGTCAGAGGTCAGACTCCAGACCTCCAGAAATGCAGCAATACCTCTGACTCATACACGTTTGTCAGGGGATTTTAAAATTTTTTTCTTTAAACAATACTTCTAGTGACAGATATGATTATGAAACCTGGATTATTTTAATTATTATTCTCATATTAACTCAGTTTTCAGACCGATTAAGAGAAAGAGAAGAGAAAGAGAAACAGGATGTCAGGTTCTCACTGGAAAAACCATCTAGTAAAAATTTCTTAGATTAAGTTTATTTAACCATAATTCGAGTAGGTAAATGAGATAGTTTGCCAATGGAATTAGTATTTTTACTCTTAAAATAAAACAATTAGATAACATGCACTTGAAATAAGACAATGCAATTGTATTTTTTTTTATCTTAAATGTAAACTGTCTTGTTCCATTGGCAAAATCTCTCTTTTACCCACTGGGAAAAATCTAAATCTGTATAAGTTGTTTTTTCTCAAAATAAGTGCATTTGTTCTTGGTTTGAGGAGGTAAAAGAGACATTTTGCCAATCGAACGAGACAATTTACACTTAAAATAAACAACTGCATTGTCTTATTTCAAGTGTATTTTATCTAATTATCTTGTTTTAAGAGTAAAAATNTTGCTGAAATTGGATAGGCGTCAGAACCTCAGGGTCAATCTCCACTGTTCCAACAGGAAAATGAACGAGCAAAACATCCATATTTTCTAAATAAAGACAAACTATTCTTTCCTAAATCCTATGGTAACAAATAGATGCATATATTGAAACATCTGTGCACTGCAAAAACCATCTAGAAATAAGTACAAAATTTCTTAAAATAAGTGTATTTACCCTTAATTTTAGTAGTTAAATAAGACGATTTGCCAATGGAATCAGTATTTCTACTCCTAAAATAAGACAATTAGATAATATTCACTTGAAATAAGACAAAGCAATTTTTTTCCCCTATTTTAAATGTAAATTGTCTTGTTCCATTGGCAAAGTGTCTTACTTATCACCTCAATTCAAGACAAAATTCACTCAATTTAAGCAAAAATAACTCATACAGATTTCCATTTTTTGCAGTGTGCTTTCTAGATAAAAGCTATAATGAATACAATTCTTTCAGGTTTGAGTTCTGGGCTGAACATCTTTTCCATTGTCATTACTGACCTACTTTTTTCAATAATCATTCTACATATAAGTTTTTATTAAAATAGTTATTTATCTTTGAATTCACTAGAATTCATAGATAAATTCATAGATACTAGATGAATTGCAAAGACACATAATTTTCTCTTTACCCAATAAAACACAAAATCTAGTTCTGAAAAGAGCAGGAATTCAGTACTTGTCATCTTTAATGTTAGCATATTGATGTGCAGAATTAACCACAGTGTGTTTGTTGTCATTTTTAATGTATGAAAAATGTAAATGTCTTGAATTTTCCACTTATTACTGCTCCAACAATCTGTAATAGAGGGAAAAAATGGCAGGGGTGGCCAATGATTGGCTAATGGTAGCCGTCGCCATACTTTAGCCCTTCATATACCTGTGAAAAACATCTTGGGACCCATAATTCTGTGTCCCGTACCTCGCTGGGGGGTCCTGACCCCCATTTTAGGAATGCCCTGTTCTACATCAATCTCAGCAGGCACCTTTCAGTGCAGTGGAGCAGCAGCTCTACTCTGAGCTGCCCGGGATCTCAGCTACCAGCCTCCCTGCAGGGGGAGCTCCTCTCAGCTGACTGCATCCAGGATCAACATCTTTTAAATCATTATCAATACCGCACAACCGTATGTTAGGGATGGAAATCAGATCATTAAATCAAGAGATTCACTAAAAAGATTTGCTCCTTCAACATGACTGATGGACTAGTTAAAAAATCTATCCCATTTAAGGGGA